TTCGATCTATGCTTTAATGGAGGATGGAATGGAGGATGGAACAAATAAAAATTATTTGTGTTCATTAAATAATATGTAAAGTCGCTTATTAATAGTTTACTTTCTGTTGCCAACGCATACATTAATTACCCTTGTGGTTGGGTATTGGCTAAACTCACCGTGTTCAAAATTTATACAAAACAAAACCTCTACAGCAGAGAAAATTGTTTCTTTGGGTGTCACAAGCCTTCAAACACAAGCTTATTGCTAACTACAACAACTTCTAGCACCATCGATGAAACAGCCTATTGTTAACTACAACAACTGCTAGCACCATCGATGAAACAGCCTATTGCTAACTACAACAACTGCTAGCACCATCGATGAAACAGCTTATTGCTAACTACAACAACTTCTAGCACCATCGATGAAACAGCCTATTGTTAACTACAACAACTGCTAGCACCATCGATGAAACAGCCTATTGTTAACTACAACAACTGCTAGCACCATCGATGAAACAGCCTATTGCTAACTACAACAACTGCTAGCACCATCGATGAAACAGCCTATTGCTAACTACAACAACTGCTAGCACCATCGATGAAACAGCCTATTGCTAACTACAACAACTGCTAGCACCATCGATGAAACAGCCTATTGCTAACTACAACAACTGCTAGTACCATCGATGAAACAGCCTATTGCTAACTACAACAACTGCTAGCACCATCGATGAAACAGCCTATTGCTAACTACAACAACTGCTAGCACCATCGACACAAATGACTCTTTTGTCCCATGAAACAAAAGGCTCACAATGTCCCCCTACACTGTCAGCTGTACTCACAATATTGGACTAGTGATACACTCTCTTGCTCTCTCTCTCTCTCTCTCTCTAAACTAAACATGCAAGAGTTTTTTATTTTGCCATGTCATGTCAGTGCAGCACTGCACATAACAACAGAACATTATGCAGAAAAGATTGTTCATATATGTAATGTGAATGATGTTTAAAGCATCTGTCTGTCACACTTTACATCCCCCCTCCCCCCCCCCCCAAGACAGATGGTAAGCTGGAACAATCAGGCCAGCCAAACAAGTAACTGTGGAGTCGTGTGGGTTATCAGCTGGTAGGTACACAAGACTATGACTATAATTAACAGCTACTTTAACTTTCACTTCAAGTCAACAGTAGATACTTGAGGATCTTTTTTTTTCTTTTTAGTTTTCGTACAAGTTTTATAGCATTTGCAACACAATTAGGTCATAAAAGTGCCCCAGATTATAGGAGTTTACTAGAGAGTAACATATAACTAAAAGAAGGAGGAGAGATATTTAATAAGGATAATAGATAATTGACAGGAAAGAAAGAGCAAAGCACACCAGAGCACCTGCCAACCACCCACCTCGCGGATCTAGTTCTCAACAGTAAGCCTACTGTAGTGTGACTCAACTCAAATGTCAGAAAATAGGAGGAAAAGATCTTGACTACATTATGAAGCAACCACCATTGTGTTGCAATAACAACACATCGGTCGCGTCGCGTCACGACCCTCGGGTAGCACCAGGTGTGTACCCACTCGCCTCCCTGACACGCCAGCCACACACCTGTCACAGCTGCTACAGCCCACCCTCATTAGGACCTGGCAATGAGCTCTGCTGGCAAGAGTAAATCTACATAAAATCAATGATAACGCTGGGATGTCAGTTCTATCAAATTACATCCCAGGATAAAGCTATTACAGTCTCAACGCAGTTGGTGGGTTGAATTTCACATGAATACAAATTATCAACACACACACACACACTAAACAACTATTTTTTTCATACTTCTATTTTATAAAGAATAACTCGCACAAACAACACTATCAATGAACAAAACAGGTAGTGTTTGTCTCACCAAATCTACCCACACACTTTAATCAACAATAGAGATGGACTCTATTCTTTTTTTATAAATGGAAGTTCATACTATGAAAAAATGGCACAACTTATTTTTTTTTAAACAGCTGGAACAGGGGAAATGATCATATATGAAGGAAAGCAGTGGAATTTAAATAACACAAATAAGATTTTTATAAACAAATTCTCAACAACATTTTTATACACCAATAATATAAAATATTACGCAGTAGCAGATGTAAATGTGCAAATTTTTATACGGATAGGGAAATAAAGGCAATATTTTTAAAGGCAATATTTTATTGTTAATCATTATAGAACGGGAGGCATTTAAAATAGGTCAAATGAAGTAATGAAGAGAACATAATATGCGTGTCAGAACTGAAAAAAATGTATGCCAAATGACTGAATACAACACATTGGAATAAAATTTATGCCAAATGACTGAATACAACACATTGGAAGTGAGAGTGAGACAGATACAAATAACAGAGAGAGGCAAAGCCAAGGGGCAAGAGGTAAATAACAGAAATAGATGAATCTTCTCCCTATATAATTAAAAAAACTAGAAGCTTTATAAAAGAAAGTTTTGAGTGCAATAAAAAAGAGGAAAATAAAAGCATTCAGCAGGTGCTATCTAAGTTCTCAAAACTTCTTCCACTACATTAGACACTGTTGACGGCAGTATTTTTAAAATGTCTGTGCATAAGAATAAGAACACAAAACTTTAGTAAGCAGCAGCTGATGTTTTTGTTTCTAATCATGAAGTGATGCTACTGGTCCGAGTCAATAGTTATGAGATGATTATCACAAAAATATGTTTGCTCCTGAGGAAGCCTATGTTGACATATTGCAAAATTCTATACTGTTGTTGAAAAATACAGCAACCATCCAAAAACAAAAACTTTAAAAAAATGAATTCAAGCAAGTTTTTTTTTCCTGGACTCTTATTTTTATTCCTCAATACGTAGAAATTTACAGCCTACTTTTATGTAATACGTGCCATTATTTATATATATTTGCCCTTCAATAAAAGGATTGTCCCTACCCACTTATTTGGCCGATTTACACATTTCTTATGCTTCTGCCTCTTTTAACATCCAGTGCATCCTCTCTATAACGACCTTCAATATAACGACATCCTCTGTATAGCCACATGGTGCCCAGGTCCCGATTTTTTCCTTATATATCATTAGTAATATTTTTGGTTGCCTCTCTATAACTACAACTCTCTATAACGACACTTTTTCTGCTCTCGACGATGTCATTATAGAGAGGCTGCACTGTACAGTTCAATGAAATCCTTCAGCTCAGATGTCATAACACACAGACTTCACCAACCACAGACGCAATGGCTCAGCATCTGCAGCAATCAACTGGCAAAGTCTGGACTGTAACTTTCATTCCTGTAACGCTATCCAGTAAGCCACGTCCATGGTATCCGTAACCTCTAAGTAAGCGAGGAAACACTGATGATGTCTAAGGCACTATGTGGAAGCGCTGATGATGTCTAAGGCACTATGTATAAGCACTGATGATGTCTAAGGCACTATGTATAAGCACTGATGATGTCTAAGGCACTATGTATAAGCACTGATGATGTCTAAGGCACTATGTATAAGCACTGATGATGTCTAAGGCACTACTTGGAAGGACTAATGATGTCTAAGACACTACTTGGAAGGACTAATGATGTCTAAGACACTACTTGGAAGGACTAATGATGTCTAAGGCACTAATGAACTGATCAACTGCAGCACAGTTTTATCTACAATGGAGTCCGCTTAAACCGAAATCTACGGGACCACCAGATTTTCTTCAGTTTAGCTGGGTTTTCAGTTTAGAGAGGCTGTTCAAATAGCAGAAGAAAAAATCGAGGGTTTCATTTTCTTTTGGTTTACTGCTGTAGTCGGATTGGTGCATGTTCGGTTTCAGAGGACTGCACTGTATTTTTTAAAAAGCTGTTCTCCTTCCCTGCCCCAGAATAACAGTTCATTATTTTGAAACACAAATATTGCAATATTGAAAAATAACAAGAATTTCATTTGAGACGGAGATTCAGACCATGTAGATTTATAAAATAACAAGTGTCATGCTTACTTATGATGAAAAAAGCCCCATAAGGCACTGGCTCCAACAACTTCAGTTCCAAACCATCACAGGAACAGTACGATTTCATATATCTACAAATATCAGAGTTATACATTTATTTGCAGACAAAGTTTCATGAGTCGCAGGTCGGATATATATATATATCAGCTAATATCAGAGTTATACATTTACAGACAAAGTGTCATGAGTAAAAAAGAAATTCAGAGGATATACTTTTCAAAAAGTGAGAACCTATTCTTGAGCTACAAGTTTATCAGATGAAAGTTGGCTGGGGTACACTCTGAAAGTAGACAAAATTATAACTTCCACATGAAAACACATTGCATTGAGTGTCGACACCAGAAGTTATCTCTCAGATTCTCCAAAGACAAGCATCAGTGTTCTCTAAAACTGGAAGTCTAAAATCTGGCTGCAATTCAAAGTTGCACAAATATCATCACTATATAATATTGGAATAATAATATCATATTGACATTAGCACCTTTCTGGGGGAGCAAAAGAGCTGAGGCAATTTCTGGTACTTCCAAATATGGCAACGTGAAGAGTGGACATGGTTACTTGCTCATATTTTCCCTGTCAATGTTCGAGTAAACATCAAAGGCAAAGGCATTCAGCTGAAAGACAAGATCCTGTAGCTTTCCGTATATACAGTCGGGCACAGATAAAACGAACGTGGGAAAACTCAAAATCATGGATACCTCGTACAATTTGACACACCCCTATCGACAACAATTTGACACACCCCTATCGACACCTCTTTATTTGTGTTATCAGTTAAACCAAATTATGGATGTGGTGAACACATATGGTCGCTTTTATTAAGCACAAGGCGGCTATCCCCAAAAATGCTGTTTTGAGAAAAATCAAAGGTAAAGTTTTAGAATCCTTATTCAGATTCCTTAAAAGACAAGGAGAAATTTCTCTATGACAAAACAAATATACACACCAATGAAACCAAACTTGTCCTATAGGTAGGGCAATGCCCACTTTTAGTGTAGGGCAATGCCCACTTTTGGTGTAGGTCAAGATTTCTGGAAACCCCCGAAATCTGGGTTAGCCCGCTTGTCCTTAAAAATGACCATATATATGTCAATCCCCGATATGTTTGAGTTATCCGCATCAGACTGCAGTTGCCCACTAGCAAACAAACACAGCAAGTTTCGCTCCGACACGAGAAACGCTCTCCTCCCAGTTTACGCCTGCTCTGTTCCGTGACCTACTTTCTGCAGAAGTCGCTGCCGCTCGCGATTGATGCTGACGCTGAAAGCTTCCTGTCGGTGGAAGTTGTACATCCTGACCAGGGACATGACGGCCAGGATTAGCCAGGTCATCCAGCTGAACCAGATGCCAAACTGGACGAAGAGAGAAAAAAATGTACCAAGCTTTAGAAACAAATCTAATAATGACAATGACAATCTTTTCTTTTTAGTTTTAGTAGAGGTTTTACGGCGCTCCCAACTGCATAAGGTCATATGAGCGCCAGAAGATTAGAGGTGTTACAAGAGAGTAACAAATATAAAAAAGAAGAAGGGGAGATAAGGACGATAGATGTTTGACAGGAAAGAAGAAGCAAACTACACCAGAGCACCATGACAATCTTTATTCATTTCGCATAGAGAAATTTTGTCCTGGTCGTTTATAATGGCAGTAGATGATACAAAGGTTAAGTGCACTCACGCACAAGACAGGACATGAGTAAATCTCTCTCTCTCTCTCTCTCTCTCTCTCTCTCTCTCTCTCTCTCTCTCTCTCTCTCTCTCTCTCTCTCATCAATCTGTGAAAAGGTGACACTTTTAAAACATCAGGTGATTTTCCATGTCACTTCCAAAGACGCAAAACATCTGAAGCATACTCGTAGAAACTCGAACACAAGTATACTAGTGCAAACACACATAGCTACACACATACCCATCCACACACACACATCCGTCCACACCCACATAAAATCACGTTTTCACTTTCTCTCTCTTTCTCCCCCCCCCCCCTCCACCTCACTCTCTCTCCCCCCTCCCTCTTGCTCTCTCTCCCTCCCTCCCTCCCTCCCTCTTGCTCTCTCTCCCTCCCTCCCTCCCTCCCTCCCTCCCTCCCTCTCTCTCTCTCTCTCTCTCTCTCTCTCTCTCTCTCTCTCTCTCTCTCTCTGACGCACATATATGTTATAAATATTACACTCATAAAATTAGAAGGGGGAAAAAAACCTGCGAGTTACCTGAGCACATTGCCACTGTGTGAAATAATGACTGTGCTGGATGTTGACATCTCTAAATATGGCTCGATATTGGCCATCTTCACAGCTGTAGAATGAACAGACACACAACATATTATTATAAGAACTGAATAATTACCGGTATATAAAAAGAATTTTACAGAATTTTACAAATAATCTGTGATCCTTTACAAAGAATCAAGAACAACATCTCGCAGCACAAGTGGGCGCAGGAGTTACTTGAACTTGAACCAGCTAACAACTGTACACTTCGGGCTGAGAGTTTTAGTCTTAGTAAGTGTTTTTAGTTTTAGTAGAAGTTTCATGGGGTTCGCAACTGCATAAGATCATATGAGCGCCAGAAGATTAGAGGTGTTACAAGAGAGTAACAAACATAAAAAAAGAAGAAGGGGAGATAAGGACGATAGATGTTTGATAGGAAAGAAGAAGCAAACCACACCAGAGCACCCGCCAACCATTCACTTGGGCTGAAAACCTGAGAAACTTTTTGAAACTTTTTCATATGAGTAGCAGTGACACGATCGCATGACATTGGTCTAAATCAGGCATGGGCAAGAAGGGTCATGCTTACTCATGGTGAGAAAATCCCCATAAGGCACAGGCTCCAATAACTTCAGTTCAAAACCATCACAGGGACAGTACGATTACATATATCAACTAATATCAGAGTTATACATTTATTTGCAGACAAAGTTTCATGAGTCGCAGGTCGGATTAAGAGATTCCGAATATCTCGCGGACCGAAGCAGGAGAAAACTGAGCGTGATCAGTTGAAATACCCGAGCTCTAAAAAGTGAGACTAAAACTGACATTATTGCGTAATATGACATATCATGTCATTCAAGGTCACATCATGAGATTAAATATTTAATCCGTCGCTTCAAGCTGGATCGTGCACTATAGATTATAACTTTCCAAACGGACTGTTTTGTTCTCCAATAATTTATCAACTCACTGTGGGCAACATTCATTATCAATTACTGGGTCGACTTGTCGGCCAGAAGAAATAATAAAGGGCCAAATATGGCATGCGGGCTGCAGTTCTCCCAAGCCTGGTCTAAATACTTCACATTCACAGTTAAGTTTCTGCTTTAAAAACATTTAAGAACTGAATATGATTTAAAATTGTAAAAAAACCCTGATAAAATACATGACCCCCAAATTTTACATCGTTGAGGCTAGAGAGGTGAGCAAAGTGAACCCTGATCCAGTTATACACACCGCTCAATCCCCGACTTTGCGTCTGTGATGAGCTCACACCAGTCGTGGAAGCCCACGCTCACCGTGAGCGCCGTGGAGAAGATACAGATGGACATGGCAGAGTTGACGATCAGGTTCAAAAACGAGTCCAACCAAGAACTGCAAACGCATAGAACAGAACACACTTTTAACACTTCAAAACGCAACAAATGGGCACAGTATGAGTATATATAAACAGACAATTAAACACACTAATTAAGCATGGTATTTAGTGAAATGAAAACCATTTTGGGGCCATAATGTTGTCAACTCTTTTACACAATAGACTCTATTTATAAAGCTCTGGACTTTGCGCTTCACCCCGGGCCATGCTGGAGTCAAGAGCAATGAGTGGGCTGATGAGCTCACTGGGAAAGCAAAACCCGAAGGGAAGCTGTGCCCTGACAAACCTGAAATTGTGCGTTCAGTCAGGGAAAAACGAGAAAAAGAACAAGAAGAGTCGGAATACCATCATCTTGAGCGACTTCGTGAGCTTGGAGTTGGATGGGGCGCCTGCAGAAAATCAAGACTTAGTGGGAGGAGCAGAAGGCTATACTATGGAATTAAACATTGCTTGGAACCGTCAGCATCTACACACTTCGAGATGTGCTTCTTCAGGGGACGGAGCGCTTATGGGGATGCCCCTTGTGTAGTGATGTCGGTCCTTCACACAAGTAACAAGTGCCGAAGAATAGATGTGTTACAAGAGAGTAACATACACCAAAAAGGAGGAGAGATAAGGATGATAGATGTTTGATAACAAAGAAGGAGCAAACCACAACAGAGCACCCACCAACCACCCACAGATACACTGTTGTTGCTATTATCATTATATTATTATTGTAACAAAAAGTACTGGTGTTTTTACTCCCTCACAAGAAGAGGACTCTGGGTTTTCATAGATGGTTTACTTTTTTGCTTCAAAAAGTAGTGCGTGACTCATGTTGGCAGGCAATAACAAAATCAATTAATTCATGTGTTGTAACAGAATACAAGTACATAGTTTCCTTTTTTTCAATGCCTGCATTTTAAAAAATAAAACATACGTGTGTGCGTGCGTGTGTGTGTGTGTGTGTGTGTGTGTGTGTGTGTGTGTGTGTGTGTGTGTGTCTTTTGTTTGCGGCAAGAGATTAGTGTGTTTTGTGCATCTTTGTAGCATGTTATATTACGATGTTTTTTGGCGAGCTTACAGTAGAGTGTTTATCAGTGTCATTGCAAGCCTTTATGTGTGCTTATGAATGTGAATGTGTAAGAGTGCCAGTGCCCATATAATGACTAAACTTTGCATGTACATTTGTGAGAGAAGGTAGGTTTGAGTCTTTGATTGATGCATGCCAGTTCAAGTGAGCACACGGGCCCTATAAAATATTTCCAGCAACAGACAAAAGTAGGTGCAGCCTCCACATTGACCCAGAGTATTGTATAAATAGGATAGGTCTTGAATATCTAGCTCTCACTGACAAAATTGAAGGCAAATGAGGCAGGGGTAGGCCCAGAGCAACCTGCTTTAACTTAGGGAACCTAAACAAATGGGGAACGGGGAAAGATCAGTCCGAGCAAAGGAATGAATGGAGAACCAGGATCGCCGATGTCTGTCACAGATCTGGCACTGGATGAATGAATTGTATAATGTTTGATCGGAGTTTTCTCTTTTTCTCTCATTTAGTTTAGCTTCTATTTTATTTAACCACAACTCTCCATGACTGGTCTGAAGCCCCAACAAGAATGAAAGATGGTTTCACTGAGAGAATAGTTCAACATCAGACTTCTGCAGAGAAAAACTTTTGAGCAAACAAACTAAGACAAAGGAAATATATATTTTTAACTTGTAAGCAGTGTGTCTTTAAGTCTGAGGCAAATTGACGATGTTGAAGAGAAAGTACAAGACTATAATGCCTGCAGCCAGCAGCTCAAACTGCACTTACTGAAAGAAGAAAGAAGAGGTATATGAGAAAAAAAATTTCAAAATATGAGATTAGCCACCAGCGTAACATTCCCAACTCAACCTTGCTGACAATTAGTCATGTTCAATCACCTACTTTCATTTCCACTTTTTGACAACCCCCCCCCCCCTTCCACCACTACCACCCTTCCCCTGTGCTTCTCTGAGCTCCTAAAGTCTCTTTCTTCTGATACTCCTGGCTCCTTTTTACTGCTGTCTTTCAACTGCAACCCTGATCTTAGAGTAGGTAAGTTGTATGACTCAGCCTTCTCGAATGAGAGTCAGAAAATCTCAGAGGTCCCATGTGCAAGCTGCACGTTTAAAAGATCCCTTGGTGGTCCTAAACTCGATAAGAGTAGGTTTCGATCACCACCCGGGCAAAATTGAAAAGTAATTCCTCCTACCAAAACTGAAAGCACTCTAGTCGATAAAATATAAAAACATCATGTAGAATACCTTCGAAATCAGAAAGCGACTGTCTGACTAGAAGGCAAGGGACCTAACTGAGTAGGGAAAAAGGTCACATATAATTATTATGAACGTAAAAATCAGTGGCAATAATGCAAGTTGAGTAACCAGTAGCCAACTACTCCTGAGATCTAGCAAAAAAAACAACTCAGAAAACACACCCTTACATCTTTTTGATCCCGAATACTGATGATGTCTCTCCTTTGGAGCATGATCAAGGAAGTCAAGATCAGAAGGGAGGGAAAGAGTTATTTGGGCAATCTACTTCCTCGCTATATATAGATAGTCAATGTCTACCACCCAAGAAAAACTTTTAATATAATAAATCAGAAGGACTTCAGTAACGAGCGACCACCCCATCAAACACAATAAAGAAGAGGCCTAGACCTAACCCTAACCCTACCCCAAACCCTACCCCTAAATTCTGCTCTGTCTCATAGTGGTCGCTCGTTACGGAAGTCCTTCCAATAAGTCACTCATGACGTAGTACTTTGAGTATATTCCGCCAAGATGCAAAAGGCCTTCATAACTTTAACGAATACTGATTACAATCTGCACTATCATATATGATATTATACAGGCCTCTATCTACCTTCAATTATTGTAGTGTAGGTAGGCGAACAGAGTTCAATAGTGTGTAAAGCCAAAGCATGTAACGGCATAAAAGGAAGGGACCACAGATTAAATTTTAAAATTTTAATGCATCAAATGTGTGTGTCAGTGTGAGTGTGTGTGTGTGTGGGGGGGGGGGGGTAAAAGAATCTGAAGAAATGGGGAAATGGGGAGGGGGGGGGGTCATACGGTATTTTTTTACTTTCCCTCCCGTCTCACACTCAGCTACCAGTTGTCTATTTTCTACTAAATATTGATGCGCTGAACACGAATATCAACTTCATTTCCGTCGCAAATTAATGTTTTTTGAAATATTTGATTGATTTTAACCGAGATAGACATGCTTTGGACCAATCGGGGGATTCCAGGGGGGCCTGCCCCACTGGGGTAAAAGAAAATCTGGGGGGTTACAGGGGGGCATGCCCCCCTGTTTTTACACCCATAATTTGATATTTTACAGTTAGATTTGAAATTGTCTTGAAAATAATTGATTTGCGACAGTTTTAGTGGCTTTATGTGTGATCTGCAGCAAACAGTACAGCAGTTTGACCCCTGAAACAGTGCATCTGTGTGCGGGAGTGAAAGTAAAAATTTACCGGTCATACTTGTTGATGTTGACCATTGCCATTGCCAATTGCCAATTGTCATTGATGTCCATTATGACTGTCAACATTTAGGCGTTTTCATACATTACAATTTAAGATGCTTTTGGCGGACTTGACTGACAAACTGACACTAGTGTCTTACCTCTCCATTCCCCTTGCGAGCAAAATCGATGTCCAGAAGGAATAAAACAGAGCCATCATTAAGGACATAACTCCAATGAAAATAGTGAAATTACACGCACTATCTTGCCCCCAGCTTATGTTCCCAATGAAAGGGCCTGACTGTTCAACTGTCCAGTCTCCAGACGCGTACAGAAGACAGTGTCCGTTAAAATCGTCAACGTTCACCCCAGCAGGGACGCAAACGAAAAATGACAAAATGAAAGTCACAATGTACAGGATAACTTGCGCCAATGCAAACATATTCGGGATCCCCATTTTGAAGCGGAAGTCTAACACAGCAGCTGAGTTTATACACGACGACGTGCTAAAGTATACTGGACAATTCAACACCACAGCACAGTACACACTGACTCTCGCTCTGGTACCAACACACCGCGCAGCACTTCACGTTTAAACTTAATTTTACTGCTATCGTCCTAGTCAGCCCAGCCCCCGTTCCGAATCACAACATCCGCATGACCCCGACGTTTGACCTGACGAGAAAGCTGAGCTCTCGTGACTCGTGACTAGCCTAGGCCAGGCCTACTCGTGATCACTCACAGAACTTCGTCACTGCGTTTGTGAAGAGGGGGCGGCGGCTACTGAGAACAGAGTGTGCGCCGATTTCGTTTTTTAACTTTTTCATCGTTTTTGCAAAATACGCCACGGTTGTGGTTCTGTCCAGTTACAAGATGTCAATCACATTTTTTAATGGTCTTTGAGATTGCTTTGAATAAAAAGAAATTATCATACACCGTTCCACTAAAAAATATGAACCGGCTTGATAACTATTACAAAAAGCAGGCCGTTTAATATACATGTATATAATTGTCACCACTTGACCCCGTTTCTCTTGTCGCTTGAGCGTCGAAACGTATTTTTAAAAAGTAAATCTAATACTAGATTCTAATCTAGTAGATCTAGTAGTTGTAGAATAGATATCATAATTGTTTTAAAATTTTATTATTATTATTATTATTATTATTATTATTATTATTATTATTTGTCTTATTATCATAATTGTTTTTATATAGATCTATTCATTTTATAAATCATTGCACAGTTATAGGTGCCTATGATACATGGGGTTAGACAAACTGTGTCTTCTGCAAGGAGCTTTTATCTATAAGTAACGGGATTTAAAAATATGCTGTCTATGTTATTGTAAAAGAAGCAAATGTATGATCTGTTCTTTCAAAAAAATGTGATAGCCTGGTGTGTCTCTATAATCAGTGTGTTGTATTATAAATTTCTATTTTTAATAGCTTAATTCTCCGGTTTCCATAGAATTTAAAAAATATTTTTATATAATAGACTCAACCAACGCTTAATTGTAGGCTACATCACTTTATAAAAGTGAGGTGGGGGGGGGGGGGGGGTCTTTTTTTTTAGTCGTGGGAAACAGAAATGTATCATCGAAACTACATGTGTTCATGTATTGATGCAATTTGTTATAAAATTCTTAGAACACAACTCAATGTGCTCTGCATGCAGTTGCTATTTTGATTTTTAAAGATATAGCTAGAGCCAATTTATTATAATATTATCGTTTACTTCATAGTTTCTGCATATTGAACCACAGATTACTAAACAATAACGTGCAATGGTCTAGTCAGGTCCAGTGAAGTGGAAAACATTTTAGACTTAATTTTAAAAGATATGACAATGAAAGCATATCGGTAAAGATCGCAGTACATTGCATTTTCAATGTTTTTTCTTTCTGAGAAATAAATTTTAAAGGACAAAATAATGTAAGCCTAGATCTATATGTTAAAGAAGAAAATATTCTTTGAAAGTTAAAGACCTCTGAGTGGGACACAGAGTAAACCTGAGTAGCCCAACAGTGGGTCGATAATTGCCCTCTACTTTTGCTTTTAATTCTTTCGTAGACATTTAGTTAGATTCTTTTAGTGCCACGTTTTTAGCATGACGTCACCATACAATTCGCCCATCCCTCTAGTGAAAATTGCAAAATCGGAAGGAGGAAGCCATCTTGTTTGCAGGCGTAGCGAAGTTTATGTCTGCTTTAGTAAACAGGTCACTGCCGTAAATCTGCTTTTCCTCTTCTGGTCATCAAACACATTTTTCGGATCGCCCAACAAAAAATGTCCACAATGAACCCAGACTAGTAAGTACAAGTTTTAGTACTACTGAAATAATCCAGTGTTACGCATTGTTGTTCTCTGTTTTCTTAGTGTCGTAGTGAGAAGGCTCACAAGTGACAAGATCACCGTCCACACACGTCTGTTACACCCTGGTTAGGGTTAGGTTTTTGTCTTGAGATGTCTTGTACAAAGACCATACAAATAGTCCCGAAGCTACAAGCACCCTCTTTTTGTGAGGCAAGTTGACGAGTTGGTCTGGTTGTGGATGAGTAGTGAGTGTTTATTTATTCAAGTTCAGAATGGTAGTGGCAGTGGTAGGAGTGACCGAGGTCTGGACTGGAGATGTGTTAGAGAAGGAGGAGGGGTTTGGGATAGATTATCAAGAACTAAATTACTGTGGTGTGATTGCATTTGTATTTAAGAATGCTTTCTGCCTTTGGGCATGCATTAGATTTCTAGATCTACTAAATCATGGCCATGGGGAGGACTTCGTAACGAGTGACCACTGCCACTATGAGACAGTTGAATAGAAGCTAGATTCGGTGCTTTTTTGGTAGTTCCCACCCCCCTTATTTGAGCCTGACCTACATCTAGATCTAGATCTATACATGCTTGATTCGCGGTGAGCTAAGTTATCAAACCTAACAACTGCAAAACATTAAATTATGGTAAAATTCAGGGGGGCATGCCCACATGCGATTAAAAGTAGAAATGATGCAAACTATTTTTAGGTAAGGCGCCCATCTTGTTTGACGGGCGCTTTTTCGGTAGTTCCCACCCCCCTTATTTGATAGAGCCTGACCTACATCTAGATCTATATACTACTACGTTTGATTCGCGGCAAGCTAAGATGTCAAACCTAACAACTGCAAAACATTAAATTGTGGTAAAATTCAGGGGGGCATGCCCCCCTGAAACCCCCCACCTTGTTTTTATTAGGTAGGCACTTGGATAAAAATTTCAAAGCTTTCAAATTGCTTTAAAAACAATACCAATGCAAAGAGCTCAGTGACACGATTCCAACGCTACCTTAGTTATTGCTCTATGTTGAACCGTTTTTGAGATATTGCATTTTAAAGATCTTTTCGAGGGGATAACATCTATATAGTAAAAAAAGGCAATTTTTGTGATCGAAACAGCAAGGACAATAAGGGAAATGTAAGCTGCTTCAATATGCTGCTGCGTACATGCTAAAACCAAACATTTTCTGAAACCTTGTGATATTGAGGACAAAATAACAGTCAGACGAGATTTTTAAAATATGTCGTGGTGGGTAATATTGGGTAATATTATGTAACACTGTGTTGTGTAACGTGACCGCATCGTCCTGCGGTCAATATATTTTGCCATAACTTTCTTATAAATTAAGCTACATCAATAATTGAGGTATCATTTTGAAGGTCTTTTTAAGGCCTTTCTTTTGGAACATCTACATATCAAATATCAGTAGAATTAACAAAAAACTGATTAAAAAATATAATATATTTTAACAAAACAGCTGGTCGCCTAAAATAAGATGAGCATAGAAGTTTTTAAAGTTAACATTTGTGTCTACAGCTGCTGCAAACTAGTGTTTTTTAGTCTACCTTAATTCATGATAATACTGTTTTTTAAATTCATTTTGCATGTTATTGTTAGAATGTTTCTTTCATGTTTTAATTTGTCATGTAAATGATCAATTACTCTGTCTTTATCTTTGATTTCTCTTTTACATCTTTAACTCATGAGATTGCCCTGTAAGTTAAACAATAGTCTCTTCTAATTTTATTACTTCAGTTTGTTCAGCAAGTTTTTCATTATATTTTTATTGTGTTTATTTAAATGTTCAACTTCTTCAAAGACAATTAGTTGTGAAATATGACATGTTTTTTGAAGCACGCAATTGTGTCACGATACTTATTTATTCTTTCTTTATTTCTGGCAATTGTTTAGTTCACCCAGTCTGCCAACTTGATATTGTTAAATTAATGTCAATTTTTTTTTCTTGTCTGCAACAAATGCTTTCTTAAGTGCTCAATTTTTTTGCAACTTGTTCAAACAAGTTTTTCTGTGAATTCGACCAACTCCGCAAGCATTTCTGGATTTTAATTAAAGTCAGGATTTATTCTGGTGAGCTGTCAATAAATCCAATGGAACAGTGGCAGGTTGTGATCAGGGGCTGTGGAAAGAAAAAAAAAAGCAAAGCAATGAATTCATCAATGAAGTAAATAAATTCATTTGTGAGCAGTGGATGGAAATTTGACATTTTCACACTACAACTCTAGTAAAGGGAGAGTGTAGATGACTAGACAAGAGAAAAAACATCTTCTAATAAACATGTATCTTAAAACAAACTGGACAAAGTACATGAAAATTTAAAGAGATATTTAAATAACAAGCGCACACAAAAACAATTAAGAAGAAAAAATATTTAAAGACAATATAAGCACACAAAAGAAGTAAAAACTTGCGTGAAATGGATGGTCTAACAGTGACAGTAACACAGAAACAAAACAAGGCCAAGGCTGTTACATTTCCCTCCCCCCACCCAAGACTCCTTACTGATTGTTACATGGTGCAAATTCATAAAAATTATACAACAGTGATACATATTACATTCCAAAATTTAAAATGAATCATATCTTCTACTATAAAACATTCTTCAATGCCGTTTAAGAGGTAATAAACGCCAACAATACACGTTAGCGTGGGTTAAGTTCGCTTTCCGCAATGGCCGCCATGACCTCCCGGTTCACGCTCAGCAGCGCGATCGATAATAGGTCATGCCCATTCATGGAGAGTGACCTATTTAAATTAGGGCTCACACGCTTATGCCTCAACGTACAACATTGAAATTAACAAATAAAAGAGATAAAAGGTTGAAGAAAAGACTGTGAGGAGTACCTAAAAAAAAAAAGATATACTCTTTAAATATAAAGGCTTGAACTTACCTTATTTTTAACTCCTTGTAACTCCGAACACACACAACCGATCCCGAAGTGGAAAACGCCATAATACGCGCCTTTCTTTCCTCTTTAATTTGATAGGCGGAAGTAATCCATAAATTGAAAAGAACACTATAAACGAAACAAAACAAATAGGTACCCCCCTCACGGGGCCCGATTTCTGACACAAAACGCGGCGGCCGCAGGTGAACGAAAATCTCGGGCCGCGCGGGCCGATATCCAAGTGCCTATATTAGGTCAGGGGGTGAAACCCCCCTACTCTTGGGGCCAAAACCGGCGAATAACAAATGCGGAGTGGGAACTACCGAAAAAGCGCCGTTTGACGTCAGACCAGGATACCCCTCCGATCACGTGACTACATCTTCTAAGTATAGACAACCGCATGGCACCAAAGATGGAAGTGTCCATGAATATTATGCTTAATCTACACAAATTTCTCGGAATTTCTGATAGCTGATTTGATAGCGCGTCTGCGTTTGATGTCGAGCAATGACTTTAGGAGCGGTTCGATTCCGGTCCCGGACAGGTTTTTTTTTCTCTTTTCCTCCTCCCGACTGACCAACAGTTCCATAAATTATAGGCCTAATTTGTAGAGTTGCTTTGACTTTGAAGTTGTTGTTTATTTTTAAAAATGTATTAGTGATTAAAAATGCAGGAGGGGGGGGGGGGGTAGATCTAAATTTAGATATCTAGATCTAGATCTAAATTTAGATATCTAGATCTAGATCTAGATCTAGTCCTCCTGCGTCTTTACGGCAATTTTCGTGCGGTCTTCCATCATGTCCAGGTAGGCCTAATAGATCTAGATCTAGATTCTAGATCTAGATCTAGAAAATCCGAAATGTTACCGAAAACACGTCGTTCCATGTTTGGGTATCCCAGGAAGTGATGACATCACATTACTAAAATAAGCAGCCATTCAGAAAGATGCATCATTTCTAAGTTTAACGGCATGTGGCATGCCCCCCCTGAAACCCCCCTTCTGAAACCCACCCATATTCTTTTTTGGTCCGGGGGACATGCCCCCCTGAAGCCCCCCATATTGTTAAAGAGTCAAATATTACTACGCCACTGGTCCTAGTTCTATTTTCAAACATCAATAACTATTGATTTGCGGCAAAAAGGAAGACCATTTTAGTGTTCAGCGTGCAAAATACAACAAGGGAAAAGGTATATAAAACGTGTACATGAGACGGGTGCATGGGTAAAAAAAAAACGCACATTTTTTTTAGAGAGGGAAAGTTGTTCTTTAGAAGGATAATGTCTGTGCCCGAATAGACACTTGTGTTACTGCTTACTAGGCCTAGACCTCCTATATATAGTATAAATAGTCAAAGTCTTGCCTATTCGAGTGAAAAATCCTGTTAGTGTAAGATTGAAAACAAGTTGGAATGGTATTTTCTTTGTTCAGGTTGTATCAGTCTCAGCTTGTCTTATCAAGGGAATTTTTTAAAAGCCATAATAGATAAGTTGGAACTTAAAACAAAATGTCACCCTGTTAGATAATGGCTCTCACTAGTTGTACCCAGGATGGATTGTACTGAATTTTTCTCCCAATAGACCCATAGCAAATCTAGAGTTTTATGAGATTTTGTCTCTTAAATCCTCATTAAAATAAACTGACTAAATTTAGGCCTAGTAATTATTCTGCGTGAGGATAACAAGAGTAGATCTAGTTAATTCGCATTTTGGGAGGACTTCCAACCACTACGAGACCGAGTAGAATAGAGGGGTAGGGTTGGGTCTCTTTTTTATTGTGTTTGTTAGGGTGGTCACTCGTTATGAAAGTCCTTCCCGCATCTTTATAAAAGCATTTTGAAAGTTCATTGCACACAATGGGCTGGATAATTGAAATAATAGTCTTCGTGTTTTAAAAGCCATTCAGTCGCATTTATTATGATGGTTTATTGAAAGTTGTCCTAATTAAACGATCAATTGGGTCTTACAACAACCTTTCAAAGTCATCCCAAGCCAGTGGACCAACTGAAATAGCTTTAAGAAATATTTTAACATAGTTGGAACTGGGCTGGTTTGTTTTGTTGTGGTTTTAAAAAAACTTTTTACCAGAGGTTCCAGGT